TGAATGTAAATGAAAAGTACTGATTATTATTGGTTGATTGCTATTGCCCCACAGGCTACTGGGACTCATATGCTCAGAAAGGGGTATTGAGCCCCATTTTATCTTCTAACCTAGTTTTGCTATCCTTTCTCTCATCACAAGGGGAGAGTAGAGAAATATAGGACATGTCTATGTCCACAGTCCTTGTAGAGATCTGCGAAGATGTCTTTTTGAAAATGAAGTCATCTTTTAGATAAGATCAAATTCAGGCAAATTGGATTTTTATTTGCTTTGACATAGATTGGAATCAGTGGTGTGATTTTTTTTTCCCTCCTGTGTAGAGAGAAGAAAGAAATCATCTTAATAAATCTCCTTGAATTTCCTCAAGGTGTTCAGGATCTTTCTCCTTGGAAAGAGCAACACAGTGTTATGACACAGAGCTTTGACCCTGAGGTTGAAAACTTATGCTTGGAGCTAAATGCTCCTGATGGATTTTGATGGGGAAAAATATTCAATTCCTACTTTCCTCAGTTTATTCATTGATTTGACAGTTGATGCTATGGATTTATCAGGGAACAAACAAAATCTCTGCTCTCATAGAGTTTACATTCTAGCAGGAGAGGGACAGACAATAAAAATTCGATACATACAGTGTGTTGGCGGATCATTTGGTATGCTATAGAGAAAGAAAGCAGGGATTGGAGTAGGAAGTGTGCAAGAGGGTGCCATGTGAAAGGTGGTTTTCTGGGAAGTCTTCTCTGGTAAAGTGGCATTTGAAGAAAGTGAGAAACTGAGTTATGTATCTAGGTAGAGGATGAATTTCCCAGGCAGGTGGGACAGCAAAGGCAAAGGCTCTGAGGGTTGAGAGCACACGGCAGGTGTGAGGGACAGCCGGGAAGCCAGTGTGGCTGACGTGGAGTGCCAACGGGAGGATGGTAGCAGGAGGGCCAGGGAGGAGCCTGGGCTCATCATGCATGGCCTGTGGGCCATTGGAAGGAGCTGCCTTTTATCTTTAGTCAGATAGGAAGATCCTGGAGGCTTCTGGGCAAAGATAGTTACGATTTAAGTTCTGAAATGGCCGTTGGTGTTGGATATAGAAGAGAATACGTGTATGGAAGCAGGGAGAGGCAGAAGCAGGAGGTCCGTGGTGGGAACACTGCAGTGATCTGAGAACTGGGGGTAACTTGTTCAGAGCAGTGGGAATAATAAGTAATTGCTGGGCATAGTTTGAAGGTAGAAGAACATGGCATATGAAGGAAGAGAGGATTCGAAGAGGACTCTAAGATTTTTCCTCTGAGAAAGTGGAAGAATGGAATTTCTATTTACATACATGGGGGGAAGAAAATATGGGAGGAGGGCATTTTGTGTGAAATTTAGGAATGTGATTTTGAACATTTTAAGTGTGAGATGCCTATAAGGCAGTTAAGTGGAAATGTTATATAGATAGTTGAATATGTAAGTATGGAGTTCAGGGGACAGTCCTGGCAAGGGATTAGAATTTGGGAGCTGTGTATGCATGGTTTCTAAGGTCTTAAGACTAGATTGGACTCATTTATTGATTCATGTGCTACTTCTCCGACCTTGAGCAATTTGATTAACTTCTCTACATCTTAATTTATGTATCTGTTCAATGAAAAGTATAACATCTGTATGTATTCAAACATACAGTGATGGTCAAATGACAATAACCATGAGGACACTCATGCTTTTTAAGCATGTTCTCTGTGCCAAATACTAGTGACTCACTGCCTTACACTTGATCTTGAACCTAAAGAAATAGGCACTACTGTCATCAACCAATGAGGAAACTGGAACTTCAGTTTAGTCACATTATAATTCAGGGAGTAAGTATAGATACAGAGGATATTTTAAATTAAAAACTATAATATTTAATGATTGAGGAGGTAATGAGGAACCAGGAAAGGAGATTAGAAAGTCCTCTATCTATAAAGTGAGGAGGATTACACACACACACACACACACACACACACACACACACACACACACAGAAACACATGCACAGAAATTCTCCTTTTGTAATAAGCCTGAATTAAGAAGTAGCAGGCAGTCTATGAGAAAAGATAATGCTGAGTTTTTCATGATATGCCAGGAAACTAAGGATAAGAAAATGGTATTTCTGCTCAGTCTTGTTGAAGCCAATAAATGACTTTGGAATTTGGGCGAAAGATATAGCGAGATAGTGAGAGTATGAAGTATAATAATGGGAAAAGATGGCAACATGGTTGGAAAAGGAGATGCAGGTACACTTTATGATTTAGTCTTTTTGTGACTGTTAATATAATACATGCTCTGAAAAAAATTTAAAACTCTACAAATGAATTAAGAGAATAAATGTATCAGTAATATACACTATGATAACTTCTGCTAAATTTTGGGACACTTTTTTTCTTTTTTTTACACACACAAAATTAGGATTATATTATATACATACATTTTTGTAGTCTGCTTTTTTATTTTCTATAAGGGCAAGAATATTTTTTGGATGATTCATTTTTTTATCATATTTTGATAAGAGGAGAGAGGTGATCAAAGAGAAAAATGTATTGGTTTAAGAAATGTGTGGTCCAATATCTACCAATAAAGTAATGACTGTGTGTGTATATGAGAGAGATGGAGAACAAGGACCACTTGGAACTGTGTTTTGGTGACTGATATGGTTTTGCTGTACTGGCCACAGGGAAAGAGAAAACAAGACAGACTACAGCTTTGCTTATTTTTTATGTCAGGATAGATTCCAGGCTTGCTTTCTGTATAGCTGGAGAATTGTTGGTTCTTCATTATGAGATGTAGCAGGAACTGAAAGGAGAGAATATCTGAGATGCCTTAGCTGGTATCTACCAATGTAAAGAGGTAATGAAATTAATTTGTGACATGAAGTAGGTTGTTTTGACTAAATTATTTGGTTTGGCCTTCCCTGTACCTTACAAATAAAGAAAAATCATATCTCCCTATATTTTTCATGTTGTGGGTCCAGTCTGGATTTATATATACCAACAAGATTTTCAAAAATCTGTGAAAATTGTGAAAAGTCATCTTAGTTTATCAGTAAGGTGTGATGAGCATGACCACAACAAGAGAATTGCTTCTGTTTACAGCTTTTATGGAACAACTTTCCTCTAAAATAAATGCTTGATGTGATTAGATTCAGAAGATTTTGGTAAGAGACTAAAGGCCTAGTGAAAGTCAGAAGATTTTGGTAAGAGACTAAAGGCCTAGTGAAAGTCCTTTTCAAATAAATGAAATTAAATGAGAACAGTGGAAATAATACACAGTTGGAAACTTCTGACAGCAGTAATCAAATGGGTATGTGTGTATTTCTGTTTGCATATTGCGGGCTCTCTTTCCATATATGGGTTCTTGACTGGGGAACACAATTGGCTAGAAAATGGGACTTTACAAGGTCAAGGTCACATATCCCACTGGCCATACTGAAGCAGAAAACTATGTCGTAGCTATCAACTGCATTAGATATTCTATATAGTCATTTCATGAACATAAGCTCTTGGTCACATGAAGACTACTCAAGAGAGTTGGTAGGTTCAGTCATATCCGTAATGCTATTAGGAAAAACAGACATACAACTTTAAGCATAGGTGGACAATGACTTCCACTCTGCCTGTGAATAGCAGTATATACACAGAAGCTCACAAATGTACAAACTGAACTGCGTCAGAGGAGAGAAAAAGTCCCACTTAGCCTTAATTCCATTATTTAACTGAAAACAAACATACTAGTTAGTATTGTCTTTTACTTCTATCTAGTTAATACTGTGTTAATATAGAAGTTTCAGGAGAATATTACATACTATTATAAACATACAATCATTCTATATATCTTTGCCATTTGTTATGACCAAATCAATACATCAGAATATAGTTTTTCAAAATCTAAAACAACATCTTTTATCTTGGAGTTTGTAAAGTCCATCAGGGGAATAACGTCACAGCATTGAGAAATTCACTCACTACATTTCTGCCACTTCACATCGAGGATCATATGCAATGACAAATACTGAAACTTGCACCAGAGAACAAGTTGGGGAAACATTAGTTTCTGATCATTGCATTTTTGCTTTAGAATCTCAGTCTATGATTTTCTGACATTTCCATTTCTGATTGAGCTATACCGATCCCCTAATAAAAGTACAAAGCCCTGTAAGTTCCTCTGCAAATCCACTCAATATCCCCTGGACTTTGGAAGGCAACTGTCCCTTTTATTTTTCAAGGAGAATTGCGCTTTTATGCTGTTCATTAAAAAAAAAGAGGAAAAAATGTCAAGTCCATAACCTCTAACGAATCACCCTGTCCATCTGCAGCCCTGGCAGTTGTCTATAAACAAGAGAAGGAACAGAGAGAAAGCCCTGTCTTTTAGTCTGAAACTCTCATGCTGCTTCAGAAAAACCATTAATATAAACAGTGTGGATTGCCTTGCAATACGCAAAATGGATGGAGGTACCCAATTTTCTTTTATAATAGAGTAAATCTGAAGTAATTTTTAATCAGGGAAATCCATTGTAATCTCTTAATTTCCCCTTTTAAAAATTAGACACCGGCTATGGAAGCACACTGACCACAGGAATACAGTATTTACCTAACAGGTTTCAAGTCTTAAGGACCGCTTCCTCTTTATTTTTCTTGGACCTTTATGCTGCTCACCCACAAAGTCTTCACTCAACCCTACCAACAGCCCAGCTGGTACCACAGATAAGAAGCAAACTGTTTTCTCCTTGACCTCTAAGCATTCTACTCCACGAAAAGCAACGTGGAACGCACACTCAGCAGGCTACGAGCCTGGAGCCAGTTTGTCCTCGAGGTATTTCTGCCATAAAGCATAATACTATTCACTGTGTTTTGCTCTAAGCAGATCCATCTCCCACTCCCCTTTCTCCTGCTTCTCACTCCGCACCTGGCGGCAATTCACAACACGCACAGCACACAGCAAACAGCAAACAAAAAGCACGAAACAGCAACAGATTCCTTTGTTTTACATGCAAATCCTACCTCCGGTAGTTGTCACATCTTCCTCAAAAGCCACGCTTAATTTTTAATGACAGCGATCCAGTGCAGTCCTCCAAATCGCCACTGGTAATGATCATTACCTCTCACGCCTAAAGCCTTTTGGACCGTTAATGTCACAACCCTTGCTAACTCATAGCTTTAATACTCCTGCTCAAAATGTCTGAAAGAGTTTGGAAGGACAAAAGGAGTGACAGGCACGCTAGACAGCCATGCTTGAAATTAGTTATCTGAAGCTCCTTCAAAGCTGCTTCATACTGTTTTTAAAGCGTGCAGGAGGCAGGATTTATTAGCCTATGATAGGCATGCTGTTTCTGTTTTTATTAAATACTGTAATAGGCTCTCTGTTAGCGATGCTGTGATAGGTCCCACATCACTTCCCACTGCTTTTGAATTCTCACATTAAAAAGGCAGGGAGGGCTCAGACTTCCTTACAGACCACGACGACAGACACCACCCTGCCTAGAGGATCACATTTCCAAATCCTCTAACTACAGAAGAAGGAATTCCGTTTGCAAATAGGTATTTTTACATGGAAAGTGAAGTTGGGAATAAATGCTCTATAGGATTCCCCAAACAATTCTCTCATTCCCAGCAAAGGACTTCTGCTCATCCCAGTTACAAAAATAAGCATTCTCTAGAGTTAATAAGATAATCAATCTCAATAGGAAATGTTCTTCGCAACACGGAGTAGGATTCAGGGTATACATACAGACAAAATCTCAGATTATGTATCAAGTACACTGAATGGATCAAAGCACATTAATTATTTCATGCCGATTCACAAAGATTTGTGTTCTAATATGAAGCAATCATATTCGTGCACTACTGTCAAAATGGAAAGAAAAAATGATGGGTGGGAGGGAGGGGGTGTGTACGCTACCTTGATCCGCTTTGGACAGTCATGATCACGGAAGATGGAAAAGGGATTTCTTACCATTGGTCAGAGATGCGGCTGGAATGCTACTCTGAAAAGTTTAAGTACTTTTCCAAATAGGGAAGCAGAAAAAGTTCTTGGTCGCTCAGAGGAAGATGGTCCAGCTACCCAGATTTTGTCCTTCTCTTCTGCTGTTCTTTCTCTTCTCCAGCTACCCCTGGAGCAATAGTTACTTAGTAGTTACTATGGAAACTGAGCGGTTCGCTCCAGGGGAGGGGCTTAGGGAGAGCAGCAGATGGAATACGACAGAAATGTACTATATTGGCTTATAGAATTGAAAATGAGGAGGGATTCAAAACATAAATACTACAGAACAAAACAAAAAAAAGGGAATGATTATAAATCATCACTATTTAATTACTGATCATTTTGTTATCTAGAAATACTATTAGGATCACATTTATATGTAAGAACTGAGTATCTGATTTGCTCAACTTTCTGATAAAAGAAAGACACTTTTTCTCCCCCTTCTTTCTGTTTTTTTTAAACTCCTGGTTGTCAGTTTGAATATACCCTGATTGCATGTGTATTTTAGTTGTCACTTGATTGGTCACAATTTCTTCTCAGGAATAAAGTGTGATTTAGCAGGAAAATCTTGTATCACAAACCATAATGATGTTTTATTTTGATTGAGAATCTTTATAGTGGTTTCACTGGGACAGAACTAAAATCAGAAAATACTATACTTTGAATTTTATTAAGTAATTCTGTTCCCATTATGTTGGTAGGACAAAGAGAAGACGACTTTTCAAACTTCAATTTTTCAAATAGAAAAAAGATTTTTTTGTGTTATGTGTCCAAACTTTCACTAGTCTCATGATCATGCAAGAGAAACCATTTCCTACTAATTAAAATTTCACAGTTGTAAGGAGTCTGGGGAACACAAAACTATTGTCTGTAATATCTCAGTTTCACAGTTTGTAATTGGAACAACTGACACCACTAAGTGAAATCACAAGACTTCCAAAATGAAATTGTTGGGAGGTAATTCTTTGGGATTTTATGAAAATCCTGTAATTTTTTTATAGGCAAGCATATCATCCAAAAATTTATGATAGAAGAAGGACTATTTCAGGGGAAAAGAATTTATGATGTTGCTTTTAAAAATTGATGGGAGAGTAATATCATAAATTGTATATCCCAAATATTTTTTTGCAAATGTAAGGGAGTATTTAAATGACAACCTATGACAACCTAAACACCATTAAAATCACCATACATGACTTGTGGGGAGATGGAGAGAGAGAGAGAGAGAGAAAGTCGGAAAACTCCCCTCCAATCCTACATGTGGTTAATTCAGGAAATAGCTGCTAATAAACAGGAGGCAGAAGGGTAAGATGTTGATCCTGGGATGAAGTAAGAGGGTGGGACTGGGGCAGAAATGGTCAGTGATGCTCTGTCCATGGTGCAGAGAAGGTCACTGGATCTCTGTGGAGATGAAGGAAACTGCTGGAAGGGCAGTTCAGGTGGGAGTGGTGGTGGGGTGGAAGATGGTTTATCCGGGTAATGGAGGAAGGGCAGGAAAGGAGGGAAGGAAGCTGATGGCAGGGAAAGAAGAAGAGAAATCCATGAGGGAGGAAGGAAAGAATTTCTTGAGGTGGCTTTGTGTTGGAAGAGGGCACAGGCTTTGAAATTAAGAGGCCTGATGATGAAACTTGGCTCTCTTAGACTATTTGAGTGTCTCAGGTAAAATGGGTTGATAGAAATGGTGGTTGTAAGAATGGCGTGATGAGATGAGTAGGTGACAAGGGAGGAGTAAAGCTCTCTGTAAACTGAACTACTACCATAAGTGCTAGTTAGCACTGAGCAGGAAGAAAGAGGGAGATGAAAGATTAAAGAAGAGGTGAGAAGTAAAGGGGAGGAAGAGGAGGAAAGAGAGTAGGAAGTGAAGGACATGTGACTGGGTACGAGAGGGAGGAAGTAGAAGAGAATTTCTCCTGTGAATCATCTAAGATAGAATTTATTTCTTGTTTTTGTTTTGTTTCTGGATCACATTCTAGTAAGTGTTGCTTTAGTTCTCTCCCTTTTAAGGAAGTTTCAGATAATAAAGAGTCTTTGGAGCTCACACCTTCTTCAACAAGAGAGAAACTTATGCTGAATTTGTTAAAGCATGGTCTACCATCTTGGAAACAGCTGACCTGAGGATTGAATTTAGTAATTCTTCGCATTGCTTTTTTTGGATGGTTCCCTGGAGAATGAAGTTTGGGGCAGCAGAAGGCAGGAACTGAAGTGATATTTTAGAGCTATATTGCCAAACACATTCAGCAAAGTACTGTGTGCATCTGTAACTTAATAACATTTTCAACAGCATCTGCTCACGGAATGCACATAAAAAAACTTGCTCTGGAAAGAATTTGTGCATGTTAACAAATAGAGGAGGCTGAAAACCATAGCCTGGGTGAGAATGATGTGATCGCCTATGCTGAGAATTTGCAGTTTACATGCACAGCCTGCAAGTTAAACGGTTTAATGAATGAAACAATGCATAATTTCATTATGTGTCATCACTATTAAAATAAAAATTTGATAGATACACAACCAGAAAGTGTAGCTATCTATTACAGATGCAAGTGCTAATTATATTTTGGAGTATATAATTTATACTCTGAATAATAGAAAGAGTAACTGCTTTTGCTCTGTTGTGACTATTTTTCTAGGAACAACAGGAAAGTTACTTTAGAAACTGTTTCCTTCCTGTTATTTTCCTGTGAATGCTGAAGCTGACTCACTCTGAAGTCCCAGTTTAGATCCATACAAGAGGCATTCTCTGTATAAAGGTGAAGTCTTAGTCCTAGAAGATGATTAAAATGAAATAGTTGAAGAAAATCTGACATTAAAAGTATTGGTCTACATCACTTTTTATAAAGATTTTTTCCTTCAGATTAGAGACTTAAAAAATTTACTAATGACATTGTATTTTCTAAAATTTTACATTTATAGAGTATATTCACACACATCATATTTGATCCTCAGAATAGCTATTTGGGACACAGGCAAATATTAATAGTTACATTCCATCTGGAGAAATTGAAGATGAGGGAGATTAAATGATTTCCCCAAGATCACATAGCATGGAAGTATGTTTTCTAGCTCATAATTTAGTGTTATTTTTATTCCATGAAACTTTATGCTTAGCTCCTATTATTTCTTCTAGAAATATCCAGAAATATAAGCACTATAATAGTTTTTTTTAATTGTGAAAAAAATATATAAACTGGAGTTTACTGGCACATTTTTTTCTTTCCACCCAGCAAATATTCATGCTGGATTTTACTTTTTGTTTTGCAGCTCTTTGTGTTTTTAAGGTAGAGTTGGTAAGCATTTTTAAAAGATGAACTACAGATTTTCACAATTCTTTCAATTACAGAACTGAGACAATACAATTTATCCTAATGGTGGCAGCTAAACAGGAGGGTCTCTGATCTGTGGCCTATAAACACAAACCCATTTAGTGAGACTATAATTTGGACCATGTTGGATTCTCAAATTTTCTGTCTGTCTTCCTAAAAAGTAGGAAAGTCTGCAGGAACTGCCCCCCCACCCCCACCCCACTGTCAGAAGTTAGCCCTCTATGCTGGTTTTAGTGAATTTCCATTCTGTGTGCATGTTGAAATGGGAGAAGCAGGTAATCATAATATAATATACATGTTACTTAATTTATCTGAATTCTCAGAACAGTAGAAACAGCCTCCCTGCCATGCCCCCTCCCACCACCAGATGCAGACAGCCCAAGCCCTTGCCTGGATGCCCATGGGAAGGCCCTGCCCAAGCTAGTTGAGCCAGTGTTCCCAGCCATCACTCTTTGGCTGAGCCATTGCATTTGGCAGACAGCTTATTGGGACCACGTTTCTATCCTTCTGAAGGCTGTCAGAATATTGCACATAAATCAGTTTTAAAATAAAACGTAAAATAGAACATTACAGTTGTTTGAGTTTTATTTCATTTGGATTTTCCTACTTCCAGGGACCTCGCTGCAATTCCTGCTTCCCAGAAGCAGGTGCTATTCCAAGGGGGCACTCCAGCCACAGTGCATCTGTGCGCTATCAGTGAAAAGAAGATTGCCAGTTGCAATTATTATTAGTAAGACTACGATGTTGCAGCAATATATCCCACCTACACAACATCGCTTTAGATAAGATACCTGCTGTGTTCAATGTAAGTTATTAAAAGACATCTATCTTCAAAACAAAACAAAACAAAACAAAACAAAACATCCCTGATATGCAGAAGATTCCAAGTTTAGGTATAAAGGGCAAGGATTTATATGTATGTTGGTGTTTACATTCATGTGTATATATGAATAACTTCCTTTATGTTGCC